ATTATTATCTTTTCTCATTTTGGATTGTTAAATATTGAACATTATCAAATATGACAATCTTTATCATTCTTTTATTCTTATATTTTATATTCTTGACGTCATTCTTCTATCATGTAAATTCCGACACATGGTTTCCAAATGCGTCTTATTATTATCTTTTCTCATTTTGGATTGTTAAATATTGAACATTATCAAATCTGACAATCTTTATTATTCTTTTATTCTTATATTTTATATTCTTGACGTCATTCTTCTATCATGTAAATTCCGACACAATCTTTTGATGAGAATATTCTGGACCCTTTCAGATTATTCTAGAATGTTCTATGACATTCTTGATTACTAATAATCTAAGTCTACGCCAGCGTAACTTTTACGGTGGCAAAGTCCAATTATTAACATAAAAAGAAGATATATTTTACTCTTCAATTTATTTCTTTGTATTTCAAATTGATACATATATTACCACTTTCTATGATCGCATTATACACATATAAAATATTTATAATGGTCAAGATCAATATTAGTTCTCTCTGTGAGTGTTGATTATGAGCTGAAACAGACAAGGTGACGTTAGATTCAGTTTTCTTATCATAATTAAATAATATGGTTGTTGAGGGAATAGGAAAACAAACTTGACACCATTACTTCTGACATTCTTTATTAGTTGTTTTTGATATATATAATTATAGAACGTCCTCTTTTTGCCTTACTTATTTCTATATAATGTAAAAGATATATAGGACTACATCAAGAAAGACCAATAATTAAATGCTTCTCAACGATATCTAGTGTATACACCGCTCTTAATCTTTGTTCAGTAGTATATCATTTAGCTATTCTCCTGCGGTCTCGTATTTTCTGTTACAGTAAGTCGTTAGTCGTATATTACTCCATGGTATGTTGAGTTTAAGTATTATACTTAAACTCAACAATTCTAAACGTAAAATATTAAAAGAAAAAGAAAAAGAAAATAAAATAAAATAAAACACTTCATACAAGAAATAGTTATCTATTTATTAACGCGAGATTTTTGCGGTCCTTATTATAAAAATTACGCCATGATGTATTTAATATTAATTTCAGAAACTAAGGGTAATTTATAGCGACACTTGCTCCAAAAATATTGTAAAGAAATAATTGCCAATATTGGATTTAAACCAGCAAAATTATAAAGACCAGCACAAACATAAAACGAAAATAGAGCAGCCATTTATGCAGGTGAATGTTCAAAAAAGTTGATCGCATGTATAAAACCGTCATTGTAAAATAATGAAATAATTTTAGTTATTCAATTTGTAGATTATATAATTTAAAATAAAAGATCAATTATCATAATAAAGAAATCTCCGAATTAACTTTAAATAGTAACTTAGCAAATACTGAGTCAAAGGAGAATGAAATCTCTATCTCAGATTCTCTACAATTAATGCTGCATATTGTGCGTTAGTTATTCAATTAAGTTCCATGACATTGTTCCCAATATGACCGTCATTAAATGCACCTTCTCATTATTCCTGATACCATCCAGGTTGAAAATATTCTTTGGGTTTTTATCAAATGCTGGATGATGGTCTTATTATTAAAACACACGTACTCTCCTTATATTATATCTGGAAATATTAGATAGAACTTCCACCGTGAACAACTTTCGAAAATTAATAAATAAGGAAATTTTGAGTATATTTTTTGAGTCGTGCTAACTCACTATATTCACACTCATGCGAGTTCTAATTACTCTATTTTCGTTATAAAGTAATTATATATGTTATTTAGATCTTTATTGATGTATTCGTTAATAAAATACCTTATATAAGGAATCACTACGTAAGAAAATTGAACTAAATATATTTACGAAATGTTTAACACATGGAGTACAGTCTATAATCAAACCGAATATTATTTATTTTATGTTGTCTTGAAAATACTGTGACTTCTTAGTTGCAGAATTCGCCCATAGCTCAATTAATCCCTTTTTAAATGTGTCTACATTATAATCAGTAATCGTTAGGCAGTTATCAATATCTGCTCCATTGGGTCTTATTAGTGCGACAAGAGCTAATCCTCTTATCATCTGCTTCAAATATATAATTACACCATTACCGAGTTCTGAGACGCTTTTCAGTTCCCGCTGGCGTTTTTGAGATCTCTTGTTATCGTTAGTTTCAGAAGGAAGTTCAATTTCTTGGGTCTTGTATAAATTAAAAAGATCAATGGTCACATCGACAAATTCTGCGCACACTTCATAAACTTGTATGTCGACAGGATTGGAATCTGTTGAAACATATATTTTTGAATTTATATCGAAGAGGAAAGCTTTCTCGATCTTGGAGTGTTGTATTAAATTATCAAGCATATTTTCAAGATAAGATATTTCAGGAATTAACTTCTGTACAATTCTAGAAAACGCTTCATATATTGAATGATCGAAAATTGATGTCAAATAAAAAGAAACTTGTACACCATCAAGTCCCAACTCTAGAAGTTCTTCGCCTGTTCTTTGCATAATATCACGTTGTGCATCAACTTTAAAATCCTCGCTAAGTCCATCAACTTTGTGAATTAATACTTCAATGCTTATTTTTGGGTTAACTTTATGTGCGTACTCGATTATCATAGCTAAGTTTGTAATTGCATTCATGTATTCGTCCTGCGAGTCAATGACATATACTAATGCACCGATATTCTTGAACAGTCTCTCAGAGTCATAACTGGGTTCAAAATAATTCAATTGTCCTGGTAATTCCATAACAGATAAGTCGATTAACGTAGAGAAATGTTCGACCGATGGATTTGATGTCGATTCCAAATAAAGTGTGTCTAGCGGTTGCATATTGTGGAATACCACTTTACAGATAGATGACTTACCACATCTTATAATAAATATTTGCATTTCAACTTTATGTTAGTAAGAGAACTTAGTCTTAGTAGTTTAATGCTATAATGCTATAATGCCTGCACAATAAGCATTACAAAAAAAGAGGGAAACATACCTTCTTAAACCCATCAAAAGGATTGTGGCCTTTGAGCTGTCTTCAGTCTGTTCCATATTATTTTCAATTTAAATGTTTAATGTTTAATCTCAGGTTTAACCTCGTTTATTTTGGCTTGTGTGTAATGTTATAATGTACCGTTGCGTACTGGTTGAATGTAATATATTAGAGGGGCAGCATCTTATATAATCTTTTCTTGTTAAGTTCTCTTTCGGTTGATGCACTTTGAAAGCCGCTTTCAATGGAAAATGTCAGGCTCTGTACAGAACGCCTAATGATGAGCATAAGATCTCGCAAATAATAGACAGAATCATTGAAAATATAATCCAATATAAAGAGAATCAAAACTAGCGTGTATCCATAACTAGAATAGGAGATTCAAAGAAGCAAATTCTATGTGGTTAGACTTATAGAATGTACTAGAAAATACTAGGGGGGACTTATACAAAGAATATGTTACTCCATGATACTTTATTAATATATATATATGAGAGAAAATTGTTCGGTAAATTTAATAGTTCAAAGAAAAGATAACGTATCAGATTAATTGTTTCGAATTTTTTCTTTTTGTGGAAGATTGCCAACCTGAAGTTATATACGTTGTCTATTCATATTCCTATATATATACCAAGCACTGGCACTTGAAAAACTAAGTTGTAATGTCTTTCGTTCTCGACTAATTTATCCGGAAAGCAAGGATTGTATTTGTCTGTAGTTGTTTTTTGAATTTGGGTGTATACCAACACTTTCCCTTCGTGACACAATACGCTTATTTGATCTCTCAGTTTCAAGTATATAGTGATGTGAAGTTGGGTGCTTTGAAAATGTTGCAGTAGGTGTGGAACAATCCCAGGAAGTCTTAATCTTGAGATAGTAATAAGTACATCTATGAATATTTTACAACATCAAGCCGGATTATAACTGGCACTTATGAAATAAATAGTACTTATATATAAATAATAAAAAGGGTCTATTAAGAAAGGTATACAGGTTTTTGTTATATATAGAAATAAATGGAAAAAAAAATGAAGCGATGATTCTAATCTGTAAGTGGTAATTAAGCAGCTATAACTAGCTGAATAAATGTGTGCTATTTGATATAAATATGGTATTTTAAGTTTTAGTATTTCTTATATTCTTCCAAAGATTATGCATAATAATTTTCGTACCACTTTGCGTTGAAGGTATAAAAATGGGGGAGAAAGAACAATAACAAAAAAGATGGTGGCCTAACAAATGCTTTATTCTATTATTATTATTATTATTATTATTATTATTATTATTATTATTAATATTAATATTAATTTTGTTGGTTTTTCATTTGTGTTATATTATTACTTTACAATTATTCGTCCTCTTCATCTTGATTCATTAAGGCACTGAACATATTACTTGCAGCAGTTGGAGCAGGGACTTCTTCTTTAGCTGGTTGTGGTTTTTGGTTATTTCTTTGTGAAAAAGATCTTGTTGTAACAAAGTTATCTTTATCCCTGTATGATGCAGATTGTTGATCTCTCCTAGAATTGTTTCTATTAGAGTTGTTCCCCCTCCTAGAATTCTGTCTTGAACTCATCTTTAATGCACGTTCTCTCTCATCTTCTTCATGAATTTGTTGAATAGTCTTTGGACCAGCATCCTTCTTACCATTATTCCAATTCTTTTCCTCTCTCAATTCTATAATATCTAGTAATTTAAACTTCATTCTATTCGATATGTCATCTTCTTTGACTAAAGAGGAAATGATTGAGAACAAACTATCTAATAATGCGGAACCTTCTAGAACAGCTGGACCAGCATTGAAGCTGTCGGTCTCAAATTGTTCACCAACGGTATCTAATAATTCTACAACAGACTCTAGAACATCCTCGGATGGATTATCATTCAAATCCTTCATCAATCTTCTGAAACACTCAAACATCATTTTACCAGATAATAGGTTCAAACGGTATAAGTAACCAATGAAACGGACTAACCCTAGACCTCTTCTCTTTGCAGCAGCTGCTTGGTAATATTCGTCAGACATCATTTCTGGTTCTAATGGAGAACCATCTTCATTTGTTGGAAGTTTATCAGTCCAACCCTTTTGGAATTCAGTATGACATCTGTCAACAAGATAATGAAGGACCAGTTTTGGACCACTTCTACCTTCATTAGTCTCATCAGCAATTTCTGGATCCAGTTCTTTGACAACTTTACCACATAACTGAGCATACATGGACGACCAATGTGGTTCATCACAAGCCTTTAAAAACACTTGTTCGATAACAGTTTTTAGTGTGCTACCATCAGTCTCAAATCTGGATAGATTTGCTAAGTCCAAAATATCAACAGAAATTGTGTCAAATTTTTCTAAGGTCAATTTATTCAACAAAGACTTCATTTTACTTTCAATTTCAGGTTTTTCGAATAATTCTGTAACACCATCTGGAGCAAATTTCTTTTCAGTCTTTTTGGCTCTAGATTTTGGAACCCATCTGTTTGCAGTTGGAACAAGTGGTGCGACTTCCTCCTTTGGTTTATCTTCCTTTTTGTCTTCATTTCTTTCAGAATTTCTTTCACGGTCTCTTCTTGAAGTGTATGATCTGTTGGATCTTCTATCATCTTTTCTAGATTTTCTTTTTGAGGAATTTCTTGAGTTAGAGCCATCTCTCGTTGAATTACTTCTGAAGTCACCACCACGACCACCAAATTTGCTTGGATCTCTTGATCTATTATTTCTGTTCATACCTGGCGGGATAACAATTTTTGAACCGGTGGATTGCATCCAGGCAGCATCGGCAACTACCTTAAGTGGAGTTTGGAATTGTAATAAGAAGGCTGGGCCATAAGTATATTTCACAGTTTCCTTTTGATACTTTTCTTCTGGACCGTTGATGCCCTCTGGGTATTTGAATTCGAATATATTTGTAATTGGAGGAACTTCTGAAATTCTCTTTATAATATCAGAAATAGTAACAGCATTTGGATCAACCTCAGTGTTTGAGGTTTCCACTTTGTTTGATTTGGATTCATTTTCATCTGTAGTTGCATCAGTAGTTCCCTTTGACACAATAGTTTCTTTTGGTTCAGTGGTTTCAGCAGCTTCAGTAGGTTCGACAAGTTTTTCTTCGTTAATCTCTTCTTCGTTGTTAGTTAATGTCTTTTTATCGTCAGTAGAATCTGTAATGGATTCGGAAGAACCTTCTTCACTACCTTTTTGAAGTTTTTTCAACTTCATACGTTCGGCAAAAGTCATCACTTTTTGTTCTTCGTTATTGTTTGTAGAATTGTCAGTAGTTGGAGAAGAAATGATTGGTTGGGAATCGGTTTTTATTTCTTCTTCTGTCTTGGTGTTCCCTTCTTCTTCCTTTCTGGCCTTAGCAAGAGCATCTGCTTTAATCTTGGCTTCTTCAACCATCTTAGTTCTAGCTTCAGCTTCTTCCTTCAATTTATCCTCTTCGGCTACCTTCTTCAAAGCTTCTTGTTCTTGCTTTTTTCTTTCAATTTCAGCTTTACGACGTTTAACCTCTTCAACAAAGGATTTTCTAGTTTGTTCTGCTTTAGCTTTTGCAGCCAACTCTTCCTCGTTGTTAACAGGAGCAGTAACGGTTGGTTTGGTGGGAATTCCATTAGACCCTTGAGTATCCATAGCTGGGGTGTTCATACCCATTTGTGGTTGCATTGGGTTGTAGGCTGGATAACCATTATAAAATTTCTGTTGTTGCCATTGCATATTTGGTTTGTAATAATTGGAACCAGCGTTAAATCTATTTTGTTTGGAATAGTTATTATTACTGTTCACTTGAGATTTGTTGTTGTTTGTTTGTTGTTTGTTCTCATTCTGAGTGGATTGTGGTTGCTCTGGGACAGTTTGTCCTTTGGACTGTTCAACTGTTTCCTGGCTAGCCATAGTGCGATACAAGATTGATTGCAATAGATTTCAATAGATCGTTCAGAGTATCACTCGATTCTGCCAATTTTCGTAATGATATATGAGAATGATAATATTCTTGAAAATATATATAAAGAAACAAAGATGCTAAGCAAATAGAATAACTCTTTTAAAGATTGTTAATAAAAGAAAAAAAGAGAGAAAGAGAGAGAAGAGAAAAAAAAACATCAATGACATCAATTTTGTAAGAGTTTTCACTTTTTTTTCACTGCATCCATCTCTCTCTGTGCAAAGGACGATGCTTCATCGATCGGGATGCCCATGCCATCGAAAATTTTTCAGGACGCAGATACTTGCAACTTCGTCTTATGTGATGTTTCAATTCAGTTAGTTAAAACTTATCGTACTTTACATTTGCAGTTGTACTAAGTTAATGGAAAGCACGATATTGTATTGCTGAAGGCGTATAATTCGGGTTAAATGACATATATAACCAAAATATTGTTATGGGGTATATTGCACTGACTACTTCTCTATTGACTCTTTAAAATTATCAACTATTTAATTTGGATTAGAGTTCAGCCTCAAGAGTAATTATGTTCAGATCAAGATACGAGTTAATTCTGTTCTCGCTACATACATAGAGGAATAGTAATGCTTCGTGATATTCGTAATATCTAAAATTTAGCCCTTCGTATAATAATTTTTTAAGTAATATTCATTTTCAATAAAAAGAAGTTAACGTCGTATTTTGTACCGCGATTCACTCCTAGATAGTCAATTCTGAGCCTTTTCCTTTTCACTATGTTTTTAAAAAAAATTGCCCCTCAATTAATGTACTGCATTTATGAAATAATCGAATTGATCCATTAGGTACGTCGGTCGGTTACTCTTAACTTATTTATATTTCGTCGTTCTTTGTTTTACACCAAGTTCCTTACATTTTGAATCTAATACTTAACAAAATGAGAGAAAAGGGGACCACAATGGTATTATATACCGGAGTTATAACCATCAGTTCCTTGCGGTTATAGAGACGTGTATAATTTATCCAGAAAGGTATTAACTTGATCAGGAATACTGTGTTTATATTACTTACATCCGAGTTTTTGAAGTTATTGAAGCATTGGATGTTTGTTTTTTTATTGCGTATTTTATGATAAATGAGCATATAGAATTGTACGCATGATAGATTTCCTATGAAATTTCATTTGACACATTGTAACTTGGCTTTGTTTCAAAAGTTGAAACACCAATTATTTATCTTGTCTAAAACTATCTTAACAAAGGGGATGGTAGTAATTGGGTAACCTAGTTTGTAATTTTATGGAGTAGGACTGACAATAAAATAATTTGTCGATCTTTGATGTGACATATTGCTTACAACGAAAAAAATTTAAATGCTACTGAATTATTTTTTTTATATCTCTCTCTTATTGGGTACCATAAATGTTATTTCTTTTTAAAAATGTAACCTCAGTTTAAAAGAAAAATGGCAAGGACGTTCAAAGTATTACTAGTTGATAACGCAAAAATTAACAGATTTTAATTTAATGGATATGTACCCCTTTTTATTATTTTAAGACTGATTCAATTACTATTACAATAAGAAATGGTAAGATCTACCAAATTAGAACTATTAAAGTTCATATGGTTTTTCTATAATGCAGCATTACATATAATAAATTAGGAAAAAAATAAGAAACACTTTCTTCTTGACGACGTCAGATGTACTTATAAAAGATTATGGCATCAACGCAATCAAACTTGGTCTCAAAAAATTAAAAATGATTTCGCCCAGGATCGAACTGGGGACGTTCTGCGTGTTAAGCAGATGCCATAACCAACTAGACCACGAAACCATATATTGGTTAAAAGCTACGTGTCGAAGTGGTGTTATGTCAATGTGACAATTGTAAATTTGTATGGCAGATGAGTCCTAAGTCGTCTTTTTCCGGAAATAATAAGTGTTATAATATATTAAGTGGAAATACTTAGTTATTTGATATTTTATATTTAGTAAGATTATTACTAATTGTTCCACAAGGTTCTAGAACATTCTTTAGGAATGATAGAAATCCTCATTTCTATCTTGTTGAGCATTGATTGGATTTTTATTAAAAGTTATTGTTGCGGAAGAATATAAGCTGCAACAGTTGTTCCAGATATTTTATGTTTGGTGCTCCAGAGTAACTTTTCAACAAGAATATTCTGGACCCTTTCTGATTATCCTAGAAAGTTCTATGACATTCTTGATTACTAATCATCTAAGTCTACGCCACCGTAACTTTCACGGTGGCAAATTCCAATTAATAATATAAATAGAAGATATATTTTATCCTTCTATTTATTTCTTTATATTACAAATTACTGTATATTATATGTAAATTATTTTCTATTACTCAATAGAACAACCAATAATAATTATACAATCATATATTTATAATTATGTCAAACGTTCACAATTCCGAATCACCTTTGGTATTCTCTCTTAGCCAATTACGTTCACAGTTATTTAGTAATATTATTCAATTTATTCTTCGTAGTTCTCTTTCAAATCCGAAATTTAATGTATATAAGATTTATGACATAGATATTTTTTATTTCCATAATCCATGCTCTTTATATATGTTTGGAATTGCGTTATTTTCTTGTTCATACCAGAATCGCTTCGCCTCATACCAAGTCGGATAAACCTATTTTATTATCTTTGATTACTGACTTTCGTCGCATCTGTTGACGCAGTTTAGAGATCTCAAATTGTCGAGGTATCTCTAAATTGGAAGTGTTAGTGAGAGACATATTATACGTATACAATTATATAATATTTTTGTGTATTTCTTTTCTATTGTACATAGAAGTATATAAATTAACATTTGGATAAAAGTCCCATTTATATACTTACCGTCTGACAGTTGAAGATTAGTCTCATTTTGTAAACATATCTTACATTTTTGTTTCATGACACAACCGCACACTGTTTCATAGTGTAATGTGGTCTGTTTCATAATGTAACATGTTTCAAAATGTAACAGCATCATCTATTATTTCTTTGCTCTGAATAAGCTTAGGCTATTGCTCTATGGAGAATTAGGATCCATCAATCTAGATAATATATGTATAATAAAAATGAATGATAATATGACCAAAATTAGTGTTCAACAAGATAAAAACGATGATTTCTATTGATAATATCGTCAACCCACACTTCATTTTATGGTTTGGAAAAATTAGTACTTTTGTTAAAATTTATGTATTATAGAACATATCAAAAATTCAAAATACTGTCATATGACGTATATCTGTAAACAAAAAAACAAAAATGACATCACATCTATCCATGTAACTGAATCCTAATTCTCTCTAAAGCAACAACATAAGCTTATTAAGACCAAAGAAATGATAAATGATACGACAAAGATCCAGTAGTTAAATATAATAAAATAGGCTTTTCCGACTTGGTCTGAGGTGAAGCGATTCTAGTATGAACAAGGAAGTAAATAAATACCAAACATATATAAAGAGCACAGATTATCGAAGTAAAAAACATGTATGTCCTAAATCTTATGTATATTAAATTTAGGATTTGAAAGAATACTACGAAGAATAAATTGTATCATAATACTAAACATCTTTTCTTAAAAATAAAATAGACAAAATGAATTATGCTCTACAAGATAATATTGCAAGTAATGTAAAAGCTCATCACATATAAGTCTACACAAGCTACTAGAGACTGATAGACATTTTTTGAAAGAATTAACTTTTCACACTCCAAATATCCCAGTAAAGTTCGTTTATTGTAGCCCCTCTCTGTTTACTGTTCTACATTATACGTTCATTAACAGAGATGCATGAACCTTTTTAAATATTAAAAATTTAAATATCAAAAAATAAAAGCTTACTGAAACATTTTAAGTTAGAGCCAAATAGACTGATTAAATGTGAAAAATGACTGTGTGATTATAATATACATGCCGAGATATAGTATTTTTGAATGAAGGAAGGTTGCTAAATTTTTAATGGGGTTATTTCTGATTAGTTGCAAAGCTGAATATATCTAAGACAAAAACCAGTACTCACATCTTATACATTATCTCAAGGATGATAGTGTTATGAAGTTTCACCAACGAACCAACTTTTATGAAACCAACACTTATCTATATCCGAAACAATAAAATCGATTCACTAAATTTTTATTTTCAGGAACTTTCATAGTATATTTTACAAAGGGAATGCATTCGTTGGCAATAATGAATAGATGTTTTGGTGCTTGTTCTACCTCAAAATATTTGACTGAGAAGGTTAAAATAAGACTGGTATTGGATCCGTTACATAGACCCTGGTACTAGTTTGATATTGTGCCTATTATAAATTGACGGCCTTCTCAGGATGTCTGAAATTGAGGTGTCCGAAAATATTATTATAGAATCCACTACATAACTTATGTTCAGTCTATCAATGAGTACTTAATTACATAAAAAATTAGAGTGACAAATGATTTTCTTCAAAAGACCAATTTACAAGTTCCTTTCTCGTTCTATAAAAGTTTATTTTATATTTTAATTTATAGCAATAAGTGGCAAGTTCGTCATTTCCGTCTTTCTTTACAAACGGAACGGAATTTTTTTCGTTGATTTCGGAGTGCAGAGAAGAGACAGAGAAGACAACCGGAAGGCAACCGGAAGACACCCGGAAGATAACCGGAAGACGGAACTGTTACCGTGAAAAGGTTAATACGGAGACGGATGCGCGGTAACAAAGGCGGAAACTGCTATTTGTAATTGACATCTAGCATATAACTGTCTTTGATTAGAATATCAAAAGAACCGGAAGTAAAAAAAGATAGTCACATAACTTATTTATTTACCTAGTTAACTATCTAATGTTTTGTAATGCCTCCAAAAATGATTTCAGAATCGTATAAATGGCGTCCCGTATCCTGTTTCAAAATGTAAAAGAGTTAATTCAAATACATCAATTCTTTCCCGTAATTACTATAAAACAATAAAAATAACAACATAACAATTAGAACTGCAACAAAAACTAAACCTGAAACATCTTAAACATGCCATTTGTCAAAGACTTTAAACCAGAATCCCTTGAAGACACAAACCTATTCAAACCAATAAAGGTCGGAAACATGGACCTTAAACATCGTGCTGTCATGGCACCATTGACTAGATTGAGAGCTTTGTATCCTGGCCAAATTCCCAACCTTGAATATGGTATTGAGTATTATGACCAACGTTCTAAGAGGGAAGGAACATTTTTGATCTCTGAAGCAGCTATCATTTCACCTCAAGCTGGTGGTATTGATGACGCCCCTGGTATCTGGAATGATGAGCAAGTTGAGGCATGGTCTCAAATTATCAAAAAAATTCATGACAACGGTTCTCACATTTTTATTCAATTCTGGGCCTTAGGTCGTCATGCATTCCCGGGAAACTTAAAAAGAGACGGTCTTAGATATGTGTCTGCTTCTGATGATGTTTACATCGATGATACTCGTAAACAAATCGCTTTCTACTCAAATAATCGTCAACACGGTCTAACTAAAGCTGAAATTCAAAGTTTTGTCCAAGATTTTTCAAATGCTTCTAAAAATTCAATCAAAGCAGGTGCAGATGGTGTCGAGATTCATAGCGCCTTTGGTTTTTTTTTGAACCAATTTCTTGATCCAATTTCCAACAAAAGAACTGATGAATACGGTGGGTCTATCGAAAACAGATGCAGAATAGTATTGGAAGTTGTTGACGCATGTATTGAGGCTGTAGGTGCCGAAAAGGTTGGTATCAGATTGACTCCCTGGGCTAGATATCTAGGTATGTCAGGTAGTACCGACCCAACATTACTAGCAACCTACTGTTACTTATTAGGCGAACTTGAAAAAAGAGGTAGAGCTGGCAAAAGATTAGCTTACGTTCATTTAGGTGAACCAAGAGTTACCGACCCATTTTTAACCGAAGGAAAAGGAATGGAGATGTATGGTCATAATGACTTCGCATTTTCTATTTGGAAAGGTATAGTTATTCGTTCCGGTAATCTGGCCTTGCACCCTGATATTGCTAGGGATTTGTTGAAAAACGATAGAACTTTGATCGCTTACGGTAGATTTTGGATTTCAAATCCTGATCTTGTAGACCGTTTAGAGAAGGGACAACCCCTGAACAAATATGATAGAGACACATTTCTAGGAAGAACTGCAAATGGTTTATTGGATTATCCGACCTACGAAATGGCTATCGAGAAATTGGAAAATTGAACCTTAAAAAATATTTTTTTGGTTCCATTATATATATTATGATGGACTTTTTTCTATATATGTAATTAAGTTCATAATATTGCTATTAAGCATTTATATCTTTTAAAGGATCTATCTTTTATTTTCTCGATATTTCTGGAGTTAGGAAAAAATATCACCAAATAGTGGTTATACATTGAATTTACTTTTGTTTTAACCATACTCAACTGGTCTAACCAGTATTAATCCTATTAAACTGAAGTTCATAAATCTTTAAAAGGTGCTAACCAATATTCATGGTTGTATATTCATATATCTGAAATACTTATATCGGGGATATTCTACAAACAAAATGCGATATTAAGAGCAGACGCACATACTTTTTTATATTTACATCCCACTTCAAATATAACATAGGAAGCCCAATTAAAATAATAGAAATATACGTAAAAAGACTAGAAATAGAGGTCAAACAATGTAATGTTAAATATTTCCCTTACGGTTAACAGCAGCCTAACACCATTACAATTTCGAGAAAAAAATAAAATAAGAACAAATGATGGGTGGTCAACCGCTTAAATTTAATAGTGCAATCACATTTTCGAAGAAGATTCTTTTGTACAAAAATCATGGGGTTAAAAAATTATCCCAAATTAAAGTATAATCTAAATCAGGCGCAAAATCACGTGATGCAAGTAAAATTTTCAAAAAATAATGAAAGCTATGAGATTCGAACTCATG